TACTTATGTTTATCCACAAGAAGGTTAAATGCTAACTTCTTCATAGTTCAGCTATTTAGAGATTTGTAGATGTTGCTATGGTCAGCATCGCAAGACATGTAACTGAGGGTGAATCTACACATGCAATTAATGTGAAGCAATAAACCCCAGCGCATATCCCTCCCAAGTTTAGTACTCTTGGGCACCACGTTTGCATGTGCACCCAGGACTGCAAGCACATTGAGATGGGTCGGAGCAGCCCTGGTTGGCAGAAGGTCTGGGGGGGTCAGCCTGCAAGTGCAGGGCTGCTCTGACCTGGCTCAAAGTGCCATGGAAGAGCTGGTTGGGGCACGAAGAGGGCTCCAGTGTGGGACTAGCTGGCAGGCAGCCCCATGCTGAAGCACTTTCGTGCCCCAGTCAGCACGGTCAGCAGCTACATGTGCGTTACTGTACAGTACACAACACCACCGCAGGATAGTACTTGTATTTACAAGTACGAACCTACAACAGCATTTATTAGTTTACTGCAGCTTAATAGGGTCATACAGGTAGACGCAGAGACTTTACTGTGAAACTAATTTGCTCTGCAGTAACTGTCATGTGCTGATGTACCCTGAGAGACCTAATTCTCATTTTTACAAGATTTAGGCATTTAGCTATATCCTGTTGACTTTCTAGAAGAGAAGGGTATCACAAGGTCGGTTCAGTGACTGTAGGCTGAAGCTTGACCAACTGAGACTTGAAATGAGATATGAATTTTTAACACAATAATTTGTCTAAGGGACATAGCAGTTTCTCTATCACTTAAATCTTTAAATTAAGATACCTGAATCAGTAGTTACAGACCTGATATAGGAGTTACTGAATGAAATTCTCTGAATTGAGCTATGCAGGAGGTCCAACTAAGTAAATAAAGTTGTCCCTGACAGCCTTACAGTCAGTGAATTTAGGGACAGGACATTCTTCAGTTGTGCAAGGGGCCAGAAGATGATCCTTAAATTCCCTTGGAGTCCATGAATTAATTCAGTCTCCGCTGGGATGTTGCACTGGGAGGTGGTAGAGAAGATGTTTGTGTTGGCTCTTTTGCTAACAGGACTCTTCTGATTTTTCTCATTTTTGGTAATCAGGTAACACAAGGGAAAGATGGAAAGGCTCCAGGTGTCCTGCCACATCTTGATGCAGTAGGGCCAAATCCAACGGACCTCGGTCTTCAGGCTGTCCCTCTTTAGGCTAACTCCCAGTGGGTCACATCGTAAGAAGTGCTGAATCTCTGCAACTTCTGATCAATTCTTGGGGATAGGGGTGGTTCAGGTTATCAGGCCCTGTCAGATTTTAGCCCAGGGACTTGCTTGCCTGAGGAAAAAAACTAATGACAAGACTAAAAATTTGGCCCATCGTATTGACAGATAACTACATTTCAGAAATATTTCCTTTGTGGGGCCATATTCCCTTGGTGTCACTTGGAGCAGGTCTACTGAAGTTCAGGCAGATTTTGCCCACCAGAGGGTTTGGCCCTGACCACAGTACCACACTAAATGCCCCACATCTAATACCATCCCAGTCAATATAAATTAATTTATTCTGGCATAGGCTGATTTGAAAGCGTTACTGCCTGTCATTGCAAATGAGCCCATGCTTAGCAGTTGGCCATGGAGGTGCTTGGAAATTCTGCTGTAAAAGAACTGGATTTGACTGCAACTTTCCTTTTTTCCCCCTCTTTTCTTTCCCTTCTCTAGGATGCCCAGGGATGTGGGATAATATTACATGCTGGAAGCCTGCGAGCGTGGGTGAAATCGTCTTTGTCAAATGTCCTGCATTCTTCAGAATGATTAACTCTGAAGATGGTAAAGTGGCTTCTCCTTTTGTTCCTTTGTTCCAATGGGTGGGTAGATAACTGGTAGATAACTGCGTGAGTGTGTGTGTGTGTGTGTGTGCGCGCGCATGTGTGCAAAGGAAAAATGACACAGAATATGAGAAAAGAAAAAATCACCATGGCAGCGGACAGATGTCATCTTAAACCATTTTAATAGAGGAAGGTCACTTGTTGCTTCAGGTAAACTGTTCCAGTTTAGTTGTTACAGACATTTGCTCCTCCTGCAGTATAAATGAGCTAAATTGCTGTAACCTGAACCCTGATTAAAACCACTATAGGGATGGGCAGATGTAACCGTTATATTGGAACATGGTATGGCAGTATAATTTAATGCAGATCAAATTGTTACATCTCTCCACACTCTCCGTCTAGATAGGAAAGAGAAAGCTCTCTCCTCAGATACCCACTATAGTCACTGGGAAGGGTGATGGCATATGAAGGGTCTGTTGCTTGCTGCTAGTACAGGTTTGAAGGGATAGTTGGGAGTAGGGGTGTGCAAAGTGGGCCCTATTCAATTCAGATTCAGATTTGGCCTGAATCAGGGAGAGTGATTCGATTAATTGATTTGGATCGCTGTCCCTAATTCAATTTGGCTGAATCCAAAAATTTGATGCTGATTTGGAGAATCAGCATTTCGAACATAGACATAGCTTTAAAAGTTTTTTCTGCATACCTTGAGGTAGCAGGCATGGCTCGTGATCACTGTGATGCTGGGGCACATGAAGCATCCCGCAGGAGTGCAGGGGGGTGCCACATGCTTGGCAGCAAACCCAGAAATGGACTGGAAGTACTTCGGGTCCACTTCCGTGTCTGCCAGGGAGCACACTGGGCGCCCCCCACGCTTCCCTGGCTTGGCGATTGGCTACAGGGGGACTCCTGGTGTCCCCCGCAGACCCAGAAGGCACCAGTTGCTGAGCCAGGGAGGTGCAGGGGGGCCTCCCAAGTGTGCTCCCCGGTGGACCTGGAAGTGGACCAGAAGTGCATCTGGTCCACTTCCAGGCCTGCTGCTGAGCATGCTGGGGAGCCCCCGCACTTCTGTGGGATGCTCCATGCGCCCCAGTATTGCAGCATTCACGAGGTGCCTGCTACCTAGAGGTGTGTAGAAAAAACATTTAAGGCTGTGTCTGTGTTCAAATTTCCGAATATTTTTGAATTTTTCCAAATCGATACAGAGGGTTCCGATTCAATTCGGAGAGATTAAAGGGCACTCTGATTTGATTCAGATCTGGAGATTTGGCCACTGAATTGGGCCAGAACTCTGCTGAATCGAATCAGGAACCAAAGCTTTGCGTAGCCCTAGTTGGGAGTAGGGTTTAGGGAACCTGTTCCGTGGCTGGTAAAAATGACTCCTGTCCTGGAGCTCCCTTCATTAGCTCCAGGACAGGAGTGGCTGTCTTTATATGCCATCAGGAGCTCCTGGCTCCCTGTAATGAGGTAATGTGGGAGAGACTGCAGTCCTTCTGTCTCACACATCTGTTGGTGTAGCCAAATGGCTGGCCAGGATGTTGTTTTTTCTTCATCTCACAGTAGTCGGCTAACAACTTGCTTTTTCCTCACAATGTCCAGTGATGGAAGGGTTAAATAGCGGCTTCCCCTGAGAAGGATGCTAACAAAATTCGGTTTTGACCCCTGTCCCTCTGCAACGATCATGCAAACTTCCACATTTCCTAGCATGCCTCATACCCCCCAAAAAGACTCTTGCCTTGGTTTTGAAAGGCAGAACAAAGAAGAAAAAAAAGACCTTTCCTTGATGAGATCTATGACAGCAGGTACGTGGCAGCAAGTAACTGAGTAGGGAGCTCAGTGTGCTCAATGGGCCTTATTTTCACCCGCCGCCTTATTTTCACTTCTCCCTGGCACAGCCCTATATTGCAGTAAATCCCATTACTGCATTTCCTTGTTTATATGGCGTACCCCAAACTCCAGCAGCTGATTTTGAATGTGTGTTGTATGTGAGAGAATATAGCATTTTCCCATGACTAGCCATAAATGATAAAGTCCAAGGATGGATCCAGGGGTGGGAGTTGGGGGTGCAGTGGTACAGTTGCACCTCCCCTTTGATTCTTGCTAATCTCTCCACTCTACAGGTGTTAACGATGCTCTTTGACTTTTAACAATCTTTACGTGCCACTATTCAAACTTCCTTTTTTTCTCCGATGTTGCTGTCTGTTTGCCATTCCTAGTACTGTCCCTTCCATTTCACAGCCCAAGGGACTGTGCTTAGCTGTATCTAAAAACCTTATTTCAAGTGTTATCATATTAACTCAGGTGTAGAAATGACTGACAGTGAAGTATTGGAGGCACTGCCAAGTCACTCAAGAAGGCTAGCTTTTGTTTTCTGAATCTGAAAAAGAGACATACATTTAATTAACATGTATTTAATTATAATTTAATTATAATTAAAGACGTACATTTAATTCTAATGACTACAGGACCAATGACACCATATCTTTTGATTATTTTGCTATTTTTTCCCTAGTTTGTTGTGTTTCATAATGTGTAATCTAGCAAATTAGCGCGCATTCTAATAGTTATAATTATTTTTGCTCTGAACTTAAACGGAATAATTTAGTGCTAGGCCCCTAGCATATTAGCAAAGTTTCTCTTTAAATGGAGAAAAATGTGTTGTGTTGTATGCAATGATGTGCCACATATTCTGCACCCCCCCCCCGAAAAAATCCTGGATCCACCCATGGTAAAGTCCATGTTTTTAAGGATGTACCTGCAAACATTGTACACACAGAGCTTGACATATGTGAGCCTGTAACATTTCATGTGCTCATATACATCCTCACTGTGTGCATGCTTTGGAGATTTACCAAGACATGGAGCAAGCATGATTACACTTGTGACAATTCATTAGGGTTTTAACTGACCAAAGAGAATTGGCTCATCTAAAAATAAAGATCACTTCTGATGGCAGCACAAAAGCCTCAAGTAATGCTGCGGTATTGGTTTATTAGTGACTCAGAGCAGTAATGCTTGAATCATCAAAGCTTAGTGATGATAGAAAAATAACATGCTGGTGTTTTATGCAGTTCACCTTCAGTCCAGGCAGAAAAAAATATTCTCCCTTTCTCCGGGATTTTGAGCTTGAGTCTTGGACGTGCATCTGCATCAACCTTATGCACATCGTTCAGCTTGGCTGCCAAACTACTTCAGGTCATCTCCAAAGCAGCGAAAACATTCAAAGAAAAGTTTTCTTCTCCCCACCTCCCCCTCCCAGCTCCAAGTCCAGGATTCATTAGTGTGCTCACTCTCCAAGCAGAAGGCTTTTATGTTATTTATTGTGCATCAACAGACGGCTGATTTATCATTTTCTTCTGATATAATTATAGCAGCCTGCTTTCAATAGAGGGACTGTCTCACATTCCATTCAAAAGCCCGGGTTCGGAGTGGTTTGTAATGCGCCTTCTTTAAATATCCTTCAACTGAAGTTGGCAGTATACAGGATCTGCTTTTCTTTTTCTTTTCTGTTTGCAAATGCAATGCTCATGGATGTTTCTGGCTTGACAGCACAGAGAACATCCTGTTTACCCACAGCGCAGACAAGCTTTCCCCACACTAGCCTCCCCCACAGACCTCTCCAGTCTCCCTAATTTCTAGTGGCATCAGACAGTTAGGGTGTGCCACTAAGCTGTGGTACCCTCTCATATGCATGTGGAAAATGCCTTACATCAGAAATAAATATATGGGGAACTGCAGTGACAGAAAGATCCATTTACATTAAAGAGTTGAAAGCCAAGGACTCCTGTGCAAATGCTTTTGCATCCTACCTTTTTGATTTTTGTTACGCAGGTGGGCTTTGGAAAGTTAAGAGCTCAACCCTGAGCAGAGGGGTGAGAGGTTTGTCTTGTATAAAAACCCATTCACCCTTGTGAACCGGGTACGGAGGTCAACTAACAAAAGGGCCAAGTGTGACTCTTGAAATAGATGGTGTTATGACATAGATACCTGTTCACCCACCAGATTAACAGGTAATCAAATAGCTTTTAGCTCTTTAACAACTAAACTGATCCATTTTTCATTTTGCAACACTAGCCAAGAGGTGAAAGGATCTAGGTCCCTTACCAATCCCTTGAGTTGCTCATACCCATGTGAGCTCTTGGCATCAGCCAGTGTTTCATTAGGAACCCCTTGAAAATGTCACATTTCATAGGAAGTTCCATTAATAAAGGTGTTCATGCCAAATTAATGAATGCTTAATCAAATGTAAGATGGTTATGGAGTCCAACATGTTACTAGATGCCTCTAACCATCTATAACTCCATCCACAGATGTTCTCATAGTGGATGAAAGCAGGTTAGAGCCCTCAATAGTAATTTATATTAATAATTTATTCACTCTCAGCATATCATTTACAAATGAAACCTTATTAAAAATATCTGGCCACATTCAAGGGCTTAATGTATATTTAAATTATTTTGGCTTATATATCCGGGCAGCAGCACTGCAGAAAAAGACCTGGGGGTTTCAGTGGACAATAAACTGAATTTGCAGTATGAGCCAGCAGTGAGCCCTTGTTACTGAGAAGGCTAATGGCATCCTGGGCTGCATTGCTAGAAGAGTTGCCAGCAGGTCAAGGGAAGTGATTATTCCCCTCTATTCAACACTGGTGAGGCCATATCTTGAGTCCTGTGTTCAGTTTTGGGCCCCCCACTACAGAAAGGATGTCGACAAATTGGAAACAGTCCAGCAGAGGACAACAGAAAAGGTTGCGGGGCTGGGGGACATGACTTGCGAGGACAGGCTGAGGGAACTGGGTTGATTTAGTCTGGAGGAGAGAAGACTGAGAGGGGATTGAATAGCAGCCTTCAATTCCTTGCAGGGAAGTTTGAAAGAGGATGGAGCTGGACTGTTCCCAGTGGGGGCAGATGACAGGACAAGGAGCAATGGGCTCAAGCTGCAGCAAGGGAAGTGTTGGTTAGATAGTAGGAAGAATTTTCTCACCAGGAGGGTAGTAAAACATTG